AGGAGTATAACATAACGAACCAAATCATACTGAGGCAGACGTGCGCATGACAGAACATACTTTCATGACTGAGATAACGGAAGAGCAGAGGGATATCGTAACATAACACACCGTGCGCGCATGTTAGTCAGTGTCGCCACAGGGATCAAGAGTCACATCAATGAGCGATACGACGATGCCTCTAGCGTGACAGGCGTCACGACGTCACGCAAGCCCGTCGATCTGAGAACATCAGAGAACACAGCATTATATTCTACATCGGGGCAGAATCCTACCACACACACACACACACTTTAGCACACCATCGCGTATACGACAGCCACAACTCGACCTTGTCGCCCAAGCGTCACGACGTCACGCCGGCCCGTCGAGAACTGTTAGAGAGTTACTCCCTGGAATACAGTCCAACGCTTTTGAATACAACAACGGCGGTAGTGGAGAGGAGCATCACGGCATAACAGGCAATCACATGATACCGTATTATAAAACATATCAAAACGCGACAGCAGAGCATATCGACATTAAGACAGGATCGAATCGAACACAGCATAGCACAATATTACGTATACGCCAACTACCACTGCACAGCGCCTTCCTGTTTCTAGCACTCCACGTCAGCAGTGCCGAGGTAGTGTCATTGGAAGGTCCACTTCGTTGCCTGTCCAGCTTCAAACCGCAGTCCTCGTCGCGCCACTCCACCTCCCCATCCTCTTCCTCCTCTTCGGGGCGAAAGACTGCGTCGGAGAGACCCCGGGAGGGGTCCAGGAACAGATGTCTTACTACTCCTACTCCCACCGCTCCTCCTCCTCCTCCTCCTCCTCCTCCTCCTCCTCCTCCTCCTCTTGTCCTTCCCCTCCTCCTCCTCCTGCTCCTCCTGCTGCTCCTCCTCCTCCTCCTGCTCCTCCTCCTCTTCCTCCTCCTCCTCCTCCTGCTGCTGCTCCTCCTCCTGCTCCTGCTGCTACTTCTCCTCCTCCTCCTCCTGCTCCTCCTGCTCCTGCTCCCTCCTGCGCCTCCTCATGCTCCTCCTCCTTCGCCTCCTCCTCCTCCTCCTCCTCCTCTCCTCCTCCTCCTCTCCTCTTGCTCTTCTCATCCTCCTGCTCCTCCTGCTCCTCCTGCTTCCTCCTCCTGCTCCTGTTCCTCCTCCTCCTCCTGTTCCTCCGTCTCCTCCTCCTCCTCCTGCTCCTCCTCCTCCTCCTCCTCCTCTTGCTCCTTCTCATTCCTCCTCCTGCTCCTCCTGCCGCTCCTCCTGCCCTCCTCCTCCTTCTCCTCCCCTGCTACTCCTCCTCCTCTCTCCCTCCTCCTCCTACTTCTCCTACTGCTCAGTCTTCTCGTCCTCCTCCTCCTCCTCCTCCTCCTCCTCCTCCTCCCGCCCGACCTTTCTCCTGCGGAACGGCGGCGCGCAGCTGCGCGCAGCCAGCCAGCGGCGGCTGCGCCGCCAGCCGCCGCCCACGGACGCGCCGCCCCACCGCGGGCGCGGCGAGGCCCGCGGGCGCCGCGAGGCCCACCCCCAGCGGGTGCGCTGTGCACGCGCTCGCCTCGCCCCCTCCGGCTCCTGCTCCTGCTCCTGCTCCTGCTCCTACTACTGCTCCTCTTCCTCCTCCTCCTCCTCCTCCTCCTGCTCCTCTTCTTCCTTCTCATCCTCCTCCTCCTGCTCCTCCTGCTGCTCCTCCTCCTTCTCCTCCTCCTGCTCCTCCTCTTCTTCCTCCTCCTGCTACTTATCCTCCTCCTCCTGCTCCTCCTGCTGCTCCTCCTCCTCCTCCTCCTCCTCATCCTCCTCCTCCTCCTCCTCCTCCTCCTCCTCTCCTCCTCCTCCTCCTCCCCTCCCTCCTCCGCCTCCTCCTCCTCCTCCTCTCCTCCTCTGCTCCTCTCCTGCCCGCCTCCTCCTCCTCTCTCTTCTCCTCCTCCTGCTCCTCCTTCCCTTCTCCTCCTCTCCTCTTGCTCCTGCTGCCGTCTGCTGCTCCTCCTGCTCCTCCTGTTCCTCCTCCTCCTGCTCCGCCTCCTCATCCTCCTCAATCATCATCCTCCTCCTGCTTCCTCTTCCTCCTCCCCTCCTCCTCCTCCTCCTCTTCCTCCTCCTGCTCCTCCTCCTCCTGCTCCTCCTCCTCCTCCTTCTCCTGCTCCTCCTCGTCCTCCTTCTCCTCCCCCTCCTCGTCCTCCTCCTCCTCCTCCTTCTCTTCCTCCGCCTCCTCCTCCTCCTGCTCCGCCTCCTCCTGCTCCTGCTCCTCCTGCTCCTCCTCTTCCTCCTCCTCCTCTTCCTCCTCCTCCTCCTCGCCCCCCCCCCCTCCACTCGTGTTTGCACCATGCCGCGCCCCTCGCACCCCAGAGCTCGGACGCTTGGGCGGGTGGAGGTGTTAGAGGACTCCTCGAACTTGGTCGGAGTAGATCGGGGTCGAAGAATCGCGCCGCATCGCCGTTGCATCACCGACGCATCCACGAGGCATCCACTCGGATAGGGTAGACGAGAAAAGAGGTATGACTTAGACGGGGGCTGACTTAGATTCGGGTCGGGCATGGCCTCCTACAGGCGGATGTGGGATCAAAACGACAATCAAACAATAATCGTAAGTAGTCAAAGGAGCACGAAACATCGTCACCAGGCTAACTACTCTTCAAATATTCTTGAAGGTTCCTTCCTCCTGTGGCGGAATATGCCCGACTTAAACTTAGATGGGGGTGACACAGGTGGGGGGGCGACTCGGATGGGGGGCGAAGACAAGGACACCAAAGGCTAAGTCAGGCTTGTCCCTCTACAGGAGGAGTATCAACATTTTGGTAAAATGCAATGGGGACGTGTTTTGTATATTGTTTGAACATGTTTGAATACATGTTGAGAGTTGATGATTTTTCGTCCAAAATCATCCTGTAGGGGGGGGGGACGAGCCCGACCTAAACTAATAAAGAAAGGTCAACCAATACTCAACACATCGTCCCCAGACAATGTTTGATTGTTTTTGGATACTCTTCTTGTAGAGGGACAGGCCCGACTTAATTTTACTGGCCTAGCAGGCGTAACACTCGAACGCCCCAGTGGACGGTTGCCCCCGGGGCCGTAGGCGACCCAGGGAGGGGAGGGCGAGCAGGGGGAGGAGGAGAAGGAGGAGGAGGAGGAGAATAAGGAGAAGGAGAAGGAGGAGAAGGAGGAGAACGAGGAGGATGAGGAGGAGGGGGAGGGGGAGGAGGAGGAGGAGAAGAGAGGAGGAGGAGGAGGACGGGTCGCCTAAGCCCCTCGGAGAAACCGTCCACGCCCCAGGAGGAGCAGCCAATGCTATTGCACCTGCCCGTTTGCGCCCAACGTATCGGGGGTTCCCCGGAAGTCTCGACCCATTCCCCAAGACATGTTTTTCATCCTGAGTCGTGTTTTGACACTCCCGAGGCCCGGCGAGGGCCTCTGGGGGCTGAAATTTGAGAACAACCTCAATCGCCAAAACAAACAGAAGCAGTAGCAAAATCGTCCCCCGACCATTTTTCACTATTTGTGAATGCTCCTCCTCCAGAGGGACACGCCCGACTTAAGCGTACGTCTTCCTCGTTCCATTCCCCAGGACCTGTTTTTCATCCTGAGTCGTTTTTAAACGCTCCCGAGGCCTGGCGAGAGCCCCAAGGGGCCAAACATTAGCGAAAAACCTCCGTCGTGAGTGTTCCAAATTGGACGAAAAATAAGGAATAGTCAGGAAGTGCTTAAAAAAATGGAAAAACGTTCCCCGACTAGTTTTACACTAGTTGTGAATACTCTTCCTCTAGAGGGACACGCCCGACTTACGCGTGCGTCTTCCTTGTCCCATTCCCCAAGACATGTTTTTCATCCTGACTCGTTTTTTTGACGCTCCCGAGGCCCAGCGAGGGCCCCTGGGGGCCGAACTTAGCGAAAAGCCTCAGCCATGATTTTCAACATTGGAAGAAAATAGCAAAAGCCAGACAGTACCCCGAAAAATCCTCAAAGAAAGTAGACAAATCGTCACCCAATTTTTGTTTGCACTATTTGTGAAAACTCCTCCTCTAGAGAGACACGTCCGACTTAAGCGTACGTCTTCCTCGTCCCATTCCCCAGGACCTGTTTTTCATCCTGATACGTTTTTTGACGCTCCCGAGGCCCGGCGAGGGCCCCTGGGGGCCGAAATTTGGGAAAAAACTCCGCCTCGTCGGTGGACAAACCTCCCTTCAATAAACCTCCCTTCAATTAAAACGGCCTACAGGACCGAAGCCGACGGACCTGGACCCGCAAAAACGACGGCCGCGACGCCCTCTCGCGAACCGACAGCGGCCAATTCGCTAATCGACGTGGCAGGGAAGGAGGTTTATCAACCTCCGACGTACGTTTAGGTCGGGCCTGTCCCCCTACAAGGGGAATTGTAAGCGAAAAACTAGAAAATACACTAAAAAGAAAACTGCCAAAATGATCGAACATAGTAAACAAATCCCCTGACTATTCCCGAGGCCCGACGAGGGCCCCTGGGGGCCGAGATGTGCGAAAAACCTCCGCCGTGATCTTTTCTATACGTTGGATCTCTGGCTCCTCCTCCTTCTCCTCCTCCTCTCCTCCTCCTTCCTTCTCCCTCCTCCTCTCCCCCTCCTCCCTCCTCCTCCCTCCTCCCTCCTCCTCCTCCTCCTCCTCCTCCTCCTCCTTCTCTTCCCTCCTCCTCCCTCCTCCTCCTCCTCCTCCTCCTCCTCCTCCTCCTCCTCCTCCCCTCATCCTCCCCTCCTCCTCGTCCTCCTCCTCCCCCTCCTCCTTCCTCTCTGCTCCTCCTCCTCCTCCCCTTCTCCCTCCTCCCTCCTCCCTCCTCCATTCCTCCTCCTCTCTCCTCCTCCTCCTCCTCCTCCTCCTCCCCCTCCTCCTCGTCCTCCTCCTCCTCCCTACTCCTCCTCGTCCTCCTCCTCCTCCTCCTCCTCTTCCTCCTCCTCATCCCCCTCCTTCCTCACCCTCCTTCTCGTCCTTCACCTCCCTCCTCCGCCTCCCTTCTCCTCCTCGCCGCAATGTGCGGAGGTCGGGCGCCGCGCGCGGCTCACCCCGACGGGGCCTCGTCCCGGCCGCCCCGGGCGCGCGGCGGCGCCGCGCCGGCCCCTGGCGCGGACTGCCGCCGGGCGCGGTCCAGGAGCTCGTGGTAGCGCTTGCGCACGTGCCTCGGGGAGAACGAAAAGCGCTCCTCCTCCTGTTCCTCCTCCTGTTCCTCCTCCTCCTCCTCCTCCTCCTCCTCCTCCTCGGGATAGCTAAGGGTAGGGTCGAGAATCAGCTCACGTAGCTGATTTTCCCAGCGCCTCTAGGCGCCGGGAGGCGCCCAAGTATCGAGGGATGGGCCGGGCGGCGAGGCCGAGAGCAGCTGCATGCAGCAGCTCGTGGTAGCGCTTGCGCACGTGCATGAGGTTCCAGGCACGATCAAATCAGGACGGGAGGTTTTTGTTAATTTTCAACCTCGGGGGGCCCTCGCCAGGCCTCGGGAGCGTCAAAAAGGGATTCAGGACGACAAAACTGGTCCCGGGGAAAGAATCGGGATTTCCAGGGACGCCGTCCTGACAAAATCAGGACGTCGCATATCCGGGGTTGGGTCAGGCGCGTCTTCCTACAATAGGGACCCTTCCACAAGAGACCCCAACTGGGATGTCCATGGGCTTTTGGTGTGGGAGCGTCACGCTTTCCATAGCAAAACCGTTGAAATCCAAGAAACCGCAGCTCATGGTAGCGCTTGCGCACGTGCCTGAGGTTATATCTAGGTCGGGCATGGCCCCCCCTACACACAGATTTTGGACGAAAGATCAAAAATACCCCCTAGAATACTTAACACAAATATTCAAACGTAGTAACAAATGGTGCCCCGAACATGTTTTTTGTTACTATGTTTGAATATACCTCCTGTAGAGAGACGTGCCCGCCTTCAGGTTTGGTCAGGCGTGTCCTCCTGCAGGGCGATTTTGACGAAACCTAAAAGATAGCCGAGACATTTTCAAACACCAACTCAAACATACAAAAAAAACTTGTCCCCTGACTATGTTTTGATTTTCTGGGGTAAACCTCCTGTAGAGGGACATGCCCGACTTAACCTGAGGGTGAATAGCAGGGGGGGCCTGACGAGGGGGGCGAACGCTGACCAGCAGTTGGCGATACATCGCCGACGGATCGGCAATAGGCACCTCATGGGCGGGGTGGGCTATCAGGCCCCCATCGGCGATGAATGGGTGATGAGAGTCAATGTAAGCATTGCCCCTGTGCCTATCCCCCCCCAGAGTTGCCCCAGAGCGCCTCCCAGAGAACACCGACGCAGGGTTGTGCTGGAGCACGAAGTTCTCGCCGCTCTTGAACGCCTGCGTGTACTCCTTCGGCGGCGAGCGGCGGGGTGAAATGAGAAGGAGAAGGCCTTCTCAGAAGGCGGCGGGAATTCTCAGAAGCCCTCGCGCCTTCTGAGAAGGTAGTTGTCTTCGGGGGAGGCTTCGAGAACTTCTCAAAAGGCCAGTGGACTTCGAAATCTTCAGGGAAGACCTTCCTCCTTCTCCCTTCCCTTAGGCCAGGCGTGTCCCCCTACAGGCGGATTTTGGGCGAAAAAAGATGTGCTCAGAACATACCTCCCAAATGCACCAACATAGCCAAGACATCGTCCCCAGACTATTGTTTAACTATGTTTGAATATCCCTCCTGTAGATCGAGCAAGGCGAAACAGGGGGATAGCAAACGGGGGTTTTGAGAACCAGCTCACGTAGCTGATTTTCTCGGCGCTTCCCGTAGCTGCTTGCAGCAGATATTTTACCCCCCCCTTTCCCTATCCCCCTCTTTCGTTCGGCCCGAGGCCTTCAGGGAAGGCCGTCTCCGGCGAAACATGAAAGATACTCAGAACATACCCCCAGAAATGTTCAAAAATAGTAAGGACATCGTCCCAAGACTATTTCTTGAATATGTTTGCATATCCCTCCTGTAGAGGGACAGGCCAGACTCTTAGGTCGGGCGTGTCCCTCTACAGGCGGATGTTGGGCGAAAAATTAAAAACACGCAGAAGAAATAACATAACAATGTTTAAACAATGATACAAAAATTGTCCACAGAGCACTTGCTTGTTTATTTTTTGTTGCACTATTTTTGTTTGCTTGGATACAAAATCGTCACCCAATTTTTGTTTGCACTATTTGTGAACACTCCTCCTCTAGAGAGACACGCCCGACTTCAGCGTACGTCTTCCTCGTCCCATTCCCCTGGACCCGTTTCTCATCCTGAGCTGTGGTTTGACGCTCCCGAGGCCGGGCGAAGGCCCCTGGAGGCCGAAATCTGGGAAACACCTCCGCCTCGGCGGTGGACACGCCTCCCTGGAGCAAACCTCCCTCCAGTGAGCACGGCCTACAGGACCAAAGCCGACGGACCTGGACCCGCAACAACGACGGCCGCGACGCCCTCTCGCCCGACTTCAACTCAACACTTCCCTTAAGTCGGGCGTGTCCACCTACAGGGGGCTTTCGACAAAAAACAGACCCCAAAAAAAGTCAAACAATAGTCCAAAAATAGTCGGGGGACTATTTTCTGAATATTGTTTACCTTTTTGGGGGCATTGTTGGAGCAATTTTTATTTTTCGTCGAAAAAACCCCTATATGGGGGACACGCCCGACATAACACTTCCCCTCCCCCCCCGGGAGCTCGCCGCCGACTCCTGGAGGAACAGCGCCTCCGCCTCGTCCACGGGCTCCGCCGCCGTCTCCATGCGCCGCAGCGCGAAGGGCCTCTCCGGCCGCGGTGGGCAGGCGGGTCCTGCACCCCCTCGGGGACCTTCCCCCTCGATCCTCGATCCTCGATCCTCGATCCTCGATCCTCCTCCTCCTCCTCCTCCTCCTCCTCCTCTTCCTCCTCTCCTCTTCGATCACCTTTTCCTCCTCCTCCTCCTCCTCCTCCTCCTCCTCCTCCTCCTCCTCCCTCTCCTCCTCCTCCTCCTCCTCATCGTCCTCCTCCTCTCGTCCTCCTCCTCCTCCCGGGAGCCCCGCAGCGACCGAGAGCAACAGGACCCGTTTCCCTCAGGACCCGTCCCCACGTCCGCCGAAGCGATCTCTTCCATCCGCGGCTGCACAGGTCTCGGCCCTTTTGCCCCTATCGGGTAGCTTCACGTCCGGGATCCCTCTGCGACGGCCCCTGGCCCCACAAGCGGCCCCCGAGAGCTCTCGGGCCACAGGTCGGATCTCCAGCGGCCGTGCCGGCCAAGCTGGGCACTCCGGGGTCGCTCTCGGCGAGGCGCAGCTGCTGGAGAGCGCTCCGAGGCTGGAAAACCGCTGAGGACGAGCGAGAACGCTCGACAGCCTCCAACCTCGCGCCCATCCCCGGCCAGAATCAAGGAGCAGACGCCCGGGTCTGGCAACACAAGCCCGCGGGATGTCTGGGGTCTGCGCAGCGGCGAGCCTCTGCGCGAACGACGCCAGGCAGGCCTCGCGACGGCGCGAGTTCGACGCCGCGGCGGCCGCCATGTCGGGGGCGGGGAGGGCGCCGTCGCGGGGGGAGACCGCCGCGGGAAGGCCGCGTTCCGCTCGCAGGCTGTAGACGTTGCGGACGAAGCCCTGGCTGTGGTACTGGAGGTCCACGCGCACCTTGGCCGAGGGGGGGAGGGACTCATTTCGCCGTCAGGCGGGCATTTTTCCAGATTGCCGCTACGGGGGCGCGCCGTACTGCCTGGGCCCCCGGTGGCACCGCCCAGTCATGCGGTGTGCTGCAAATGACGCTCGCGGAGGCAGCTGCCCGCCACACGCGCAGTCCTGCACTCCCCTGTGCGGGTCGTGTGTGGCGGTCCCCCCCCTCCATCCCTAATCAGGTGCACGGCGCCTGAGCTGGGCACGGCGCCGCCGAGGCGCTTGACCGCTCGCTCTGCGCGCGCGTCGCAAAAAACATAGGGCGGGGCTCAGAAATCGAGAGCCCATGTGAAGAAAGGGCGAGGATAACATCGGGTGAGGATAGATCGATAATCTCTGAGATTTGGCGGCTCGGATGCCTCGGCTGCCGTGGCCTCCTCAGGGCGCAGTGGAACGCTCGGAGAGCGTTCCAGAACTCTCTGGAACGGATCTGCCCTTGTCCTAGCCCGTCCGACATGGTGCCGAGGGGAGGAGGGGGAGAAAACACAACACACACACACGCAAACACACACACAACACACACACAACAAAAACCACACACATTCAACACACACAAAACACAGACACACACACAACACACACACAAACACAAACACACACACACACAAACACACACACACAACAAACAACATAACACACACACACACGCCAAACACACGCACACAAAACACACACACACACAAAACACCATACACACCACACACAACGAAAAACACTCACACACAATACGCACACAACACTTACACACAAACCACACACTGACATACACACAACAACACAAACACGCATACCAAACACACTCACACAAAAAACACACGCACGCAACACACACACATAAAACACACACACACACATTCTTAGCGTCCGCGGCTAGGCAAAGAGTGACCGCGCTGGCGGTGAGAGGCTTAGGCGGGGTTGCCATTCGAGTGAATTGTGCCACAATGCAAGAGAGGGAGTGATGAGAGGACACGGCGGAAGGACAACACACACACACACACATCTAGATAGACATATATCTATATACATGTCTGTGTACTTATACACATATATATATATATATATACACGTATGTGTATATGTCTGCGTATATCTGTGCGTATATATGTATACGCATACAGACCTGTGTATGGAAAGTTGTTTGTGTGAATCTGTATATATTAACACATAAGTTTGTAATATGATCGATGAGGGTGCAGTATTCCCCCCTGCGGGGAGCGCGTCGTCACCACGGCTGGGTACTCATCGAAAATCTGGCCAGAACGCACCCAAGAACGTACAAGCATGGCGGGGGGGCTCAGTCATCCGGGGCCGGATTTTGGATATGTGCGTTGATGCTGGATTGGTGCAGAGCAGGACGGGAGGGGGAAAGCGGTGCAAGAGAGAGAGAGAGAGGAATCACAACAACAAGAGAGAGAGAGAGAGAAAGAGCGAGAGAGAGAGAGAGAGATAGAGAGAGAGAGAGAGAGAAACAAAAAAGAGAGGAAGGAAGACAAATAACGGGACATAAAGGGAGACACACACACATATACATATATATATATATATATATATAACAGACATCGGAGGAGGAGGAAGTGGAGGAGGGGGGGAGAGGGGTAGATGGAGGAGGAGGAGGAGATGGAGGAGGGGGGGGAGGAAGTGGAGGATTTGGAGGAAGAGAGAGGAGGAAGGAGGAGGAGGAGTACGAGAGAAGGGAGGAGGAGGGAGGAGGAGGAGAGGAGAAGGAGATGAGGAGGAGGTGGGGGGAAAGGGAAAAGGAGGGAGGGAGGAGGAGGAGAGGAGGAGGAGAGGAGGAGGAGGGGAGGAGAAATAGGAGAGGAGGAGGAGGAGGAGAGGAGGAGGATGAGGAGGAGGAGAGGAGGAATAGGGGAGGAGGAGGACGAGGAGGAGGAGGAGGAGGAAGAGAACGAGGAGGATGAGGATGAGGAGGAGGAGGAGGAGGAGAGGAGGAGGAGATGAGGAGGACGAGGAGGAGGGGTGAGGAGGAGGAGGGATGAGGAGAGAAGGAAGAGGACGAGGAGGAGGAAGAGGAGGAGGCGGACGAGGAGAAGGAGGAGAGGGGCGGGAGGGGGAGGAGGAGGAAGAGTAGGAGGAGGAGGAAGAGAGGAGGAGGAGGAGAAGGGCGGCCAGGGGAGGAGGAGGAGGAGGAGGAGGAGGAGGAGGAGGAGGAGGAGGAGGAGGAGTAGGAGGAGGAGGGAAGCGGACGAGGAGCAGCAGGAGAGTGGCGGCAAGGGGAGGGGGACGAGGAGGAGGAAGAGGAGGAGGGAGGAGGGGGAGGGGGACGAGGAGGAGGAAGAGGAGGAGGGAGGAGGGGGGAGGCGGACGACGAGGAAGAGAAGGCTCCTCGTCGCCAGGGCCGAGGTACCTCAAGGCGGCGCCGCCAGTGCAAAGGGCGCCGCGCTCACGCATGCCAGCGCGGGTGTGCCGCTGGCGCCTCTCTGCTTGCGGGTGGGCCGATAGGGCGAGAGTCGTCCTCCTCGCCAGGTGGAGCACGTCCCTGTAGAGGCGGATCTTAGACGAAAGACAGCACAGAGTCACACATGCCTGCAAATAGGCAGAAAATAACATAACCATCGTCCCCTGTCTATGTTTTCGTATACGTAGTCTAGACGATTCCGCCGGTAGAGGGAGAGGCCCGGCTTCACCTTATCGCCTGGCTCGGGAGGCACGTGCACTCCTCGCGCCCGACGGACTCCTGCCCGCCGAACTGTCGCGATCTCTCTTTCCCTCTCCCCCCCCTCTCTCGGAGGATGAGGAGGAGGAGGTGGAGGAGGAGGAGGAGGACGAGAACGAGGAGGAGGAGGAGGAGGAGGAGGAGGAGGAGGAGCCCTCCTTCTCCCTCCCTCTCCCTCCTCCCCTCCCTCCCTCTCCCTCCCTCTTCTCGCCCTGTGCCCAAGAGCAGGCACGCACACGCCGCCGCGCCGTGGGGAAGCCGGCCAGCATGGACGCCCGGATGTCGAGGAACCGGTGGTCCATGTGCTGGTCCTGCGGCGCCGCCGTCGTCAGGAGGAGGAGAGGTGGAGGAGGAGCAGGAGGAGGAGGAGCAGGAGGAGGAGGACGAGGAGGAGGACGATGACGAGGACGAGGAGAGGGAGGAGGAGGAGGAGGAGGAGGAGGAGGATGGGGAGGAGGAGGGAGGAGGAGGAGGAGGAGGAGGAGGAGGAGGAGGAAGGAGGAGGAGGAGGAAGGAGGAGGAGGAGGAGGGTCGGGCGAGAAGGGCGGGGGCCCTCGGCCCCCGATCGTCCGGCGTCGACCCCCCCGATCGTCCGCCCTCGCTCGTGGACCCCCCGAGCTTTGCGCGGCGTCCCTCCGCGGATCGGGTCGGACAGGGGGTGGCAACCGGGCAAACGGGGGGTCCTGACGCCGGATATCCGCCCTACTTTTTCGGCTTCTTATAGGTGGATTTCCGACGCCATTTTAAATTTGAAAAAAGCCAGAGAGTAGGGCGGATCTGGAGTCGGGGGGGGGGAGGCACGAGGGGCAGCTGGCTGCCCCGAGCGACCCCCTGGCGCCAGAGGCGTGGTGCGCTCTGCTTCTGTGCTACTTTCTGTATTGGCAGGTTGCAGTAGGAGCTCGACCACTGAAGCCCCCAAGGGGTGGTGCCGCATAGCGTCCCCCAACCCATTCCGCCACATCCCTCACACGCTGAGCCCTCTAGTGAGATCCGGCTATCCAGAAGGAGGGGAGTTCCCCGACTGCGGCCTGGCTCGCCGATGGCTCTCCGCCTCCGTCGCTCTCACTCTCCACTCGTGCGCAGCGCGTGTATGAGGATGTAGTGATCTCGACCAGCGAGGGTGCTGTGCAGGAACTGCTCGCTAGAGTAGAGGCCTCCCAGATGGGGTCCAAGTAGACGGGGTCGGAGGATCGCGCCAGATCGCCGATGCACCGGCGACGCATCGTCGATGTCGGCGATGCATCGGCGACGTCGGCGTGAAGCAAATGGGGCTCCACATCAAGCCGCAACGGCGATGCATCGGCGATGCGGCAGGATCCTTCGACCTCATCTAATCCGACCCCATCTAGGAAGCCTAGCTTTAGGACGGGCATGTCCTCCTACAGGGAGATATTTGACGAAATAATGAAAAACGAGTCAAATAATGTGCAAAAATAGCCAAACAATACTCCACAAATCGTCCCCATACGATTTGTTGGACTATTTTTGAAATATTCCTCCTGTGGAGGGACAGGTCCGACTTGAGCCTAGATTGGAGTCGGGCATGTCCCCCTACAGGGAGATTTTGGGCGAAAAAAATGTTCCAACATGGTAAAGAAAAATAGTCCCCAGACTTTTTTTTGACTATTTTTGAATATTCCCCCTGTGGAGGGACAGGCCCGACTTGAGCCTAGATGGAGTGATGTCTGCCCTTGAGCCGCGCGGCCTCGCCCTGCACAAGCCGGAGATCGCGCGCGGGGCCGCCGTGTTGGCAGAGCGGCGGGCGGGTGCGGCGGCTGCAAGAGTCAGAAGAAAGACCGCACGCCGCGGGCGACGCGAGCTCGATGGTGAGCGTTTTCTCATTCGGCGTTTCGACATTGGGCGGAAGGGGGGGAGAAGGAGGAGGGGGAGGAGGAGGAGGAGGAGGAGGAGGAGGAGCAGGAGGAGGAGGAGCAGGAGAAGGAGGAGGAGGAGGAGGAGGAGGAGGAGAAGGAGGAGGAGGAGGGGGGTCGGAGAAGGAGAAGGAGGGGAGGAGGAGGAGGAGGGTGAAGGGCGAGGAGTAGAAGGAGGAGGAAGAGGAGGAGGAGGGGGGGGGTCAAGCGCCAGACGCCTGCTTGAAGCGACTGTTTGCAACCGTGCGTCCTGTGGGGGGAGGCTCCACCCGCTCGAAACAGACGCCCCCAAACAGCCGAGATCTACTCCATAGGGGGGGGGAGGGGGGGGGCGAAGGCCCGCGCCCATCGGCAAAAGAATGAACAATGAACAAGAGAACGATCACATGCTGTTCCCCTCAGGTTGCCATTAAAGGCTGTCGATGAAATGGCACGGGGCTGCCCCAGGGATCAATTCTTTGCCCCGAGCCGCTCTTGCTGCAGCCCCCGGGCCCGGGAATGGCCCTGAGGACCGAGGGGGCCGCAAGCGGCGAAACACCAAACGGGGACCTCTTTGACGGGCCCAGCCCAGGGACACAGGATTCAATAGGCACAGATCCCAGGACCCCCCATGTTTCCTGTATTTTCTGGATGTTCGTCTCCCCGTCCACTTCACACATCTGTCCCATGCTCTCCTGGGCATCGACGATTGTTAGTGTCTGTGCTTCTTGTTCCCCCTCCTGACACCTGCCATCAGGACCCCCTGGTCTATGTCGCAACCAACCTGACTATCTACCAGACCACCCAAACCCAACCCGACGTCCCGAACTTCGGGTTGGGGGAGGGGGGTACGGGCTTCATATCTGTTTTTCGATGTCCCCGACCCCCCCCCACTGGAAGTGGAAGGCAGATCGTGGCCTTCGGGTCAGGTTGGGGTGGTTAGGTGGGCGGTGACACACTCCCCCCAGAACCCGCCCCCATCCCTCCTCTGCTCCCCGCTGCTGCGCCGGACCCGCCTGGCGGCCCCGAGACATCGAGAGCGACGAAGAAGGTCAGGACCCGGTTTCCAGCATGGAGCCTGCTCTTAATCTTGGGGTCGGGCATGTCCCCCTACAGGGGGATTATGGACGAAGAATTACACATACTCCAAATCCTAATGGCGACCCCTGCCTCCCGCATCCCTCCCCCGAAGCCTCGTCCCATCCATCTGAGGGAGAGGGGCAAGGGTCCCTGGCCACCAGGGAGCGGCTTCCCCTGGGACGGCCCCGTGCCAGGGGAAAAGCCCCGAGAGCCCGAAGACGTCAGAAAGCGCCACAGGACCAAGTGCCCTGGCGAGACCAATGCAGAGAAGCACTCCAGGACACACGCCAGAGTGACCCTAGGCAGGAGTAACCTTTGCTGCGCGGCTGAACGGGGGACGCGGGGTGGCCAAACCTGGGCGCGCAAGCCGCTGCTACCGCTTTGCGCTCAGCGATCGGGGGACCCCACTTGGGCGGCACCAAAGGTCACTGGGGCGGAATGCTACTTTTACGTCTGGTCGAGTCCTCTCCTATCCGCTCTGACGCCCAGTCCCGCCGATGCGCGCTCCTCGATGTTGGAGACCCGCAGGACGCGCAGAGGCGGATCTGGCCGGGGCACCGACGCCGTCGAGGGCCACTGTGGACCTGCCCGGGCGCGCGATGACGGCTGCCACGTCGTCGTAGTCGTCGTCGTCGCCGTCGTCGTCGTTCCAAAAGCAAAGCCGCGATCCGCCAACCGCCCCCGACGAAATCCCAATGAGCTGAAACCCCAAGATTCCCCAGAAATCGTTCCGCAAACTCCGTTGTTCACTCTCACTGCCGCCCCAAGGGGTCCAAAATGCGGCGTCAGCCAATGAATCTGGTTTCTGTGACACCGAATTCACGCAGAACAAAACATAGGATGTCACGGATCGCCGTTTCCTACATTTCAAACATGCGAACGTGTCGAACGAGAACGACACAGCGCGTTGTACGAAACGCGAACCGCGCGTTCCTACAATTGGTTTGGCCACGGACCACGCCTTCCTACAATTGACTTTTCTACATCGCCGTTAGCTAACACACCCTTAGCGCGTCTACGGTTCATTGCGTCTGGCCGAGCGGAGCAGGGCGAATGGGCGGGGCGGGTCAGTCGGGAGAGACCCTAAGGTGTAGCGCTCTTCTGGCGAGCAGGAATCCACTCCCATAAGAGGCAACCCCGACAAGCGAAGCCGTTCATCATCATCATCAGCATCAGCATCATCATCATCATCATCATCATCATCATCATCATCATCATCATCATCATCATCATCATGGTCATCATCATCATTATCATCATCATCAGCATCATCATCAGCATCAGCATCATCATCACCATCACCATCACCATCACCATCATCAGCATCAACAGCAGCAACATCACACCCATGAAAAGCAACACGACAAGCGAAGCCGTTCGAACGCACTAAAGGGCGTAGTCGAACAAGGTGGGCCTGCTTGTTAAACGTCTAGCGCCGTTTAGCAAATGCCGATTCTCGGTGTCGGAGTGGTTTTCTTCCCTTCATCCGTCGAGTCTAATCAAGCAGGGTAGCACGAGCGGGGGGAGGGGCGGGTCTGGCGGGTGGCACATTCAAAATTATTGGCCCTATCTAGTCTTGTCGGGCGTGCCGGGGCCGAGGGGCCAAGCGGGTCAGGCGGGCGGGATGTTGAACGAAAGTGGGGGGCCGTATCGGCAGCGTCCAAGAAGGGGGCGTCCACGAGGGGGGGGTGCGAATCATGACCCGCGGCATGTGCGCTGCCCGGGGGGGGGGGGGGGGCGGGGCGGGGACGTATGGAAGCAAGAAGAGGCGCCATGAAATCTGAGAAATTCATGGCCCTCGCCATGATATCGATTCCCCCCTAGTCACCACCCCCCTCTCTGCCGCCCCCGACCGTAGCGCCTCTGGTCGGGCCGGGCGGGAAACATCGATCTGGAATCGGCGATACACTGCCGATAGATCGACGATAGGCCTCCGGTAGCGAATCAGCAGGTTCCTGGGCGGGGTGGGGCCATTCGAGCCCCTATCGGCGACGAATGGGCGGTTGTGGGTCGATGCAGTTCCACGTCCGCAGATCCCCCCCCCTGTCGTGCTATCGTTGCCCCCGAGGGTTGCGTGACAGTCGATCCCGAACCCCAAAAAAGGACTGCCCAGGTGGAACAGAAATTGGCAGCACTCTGTCGGTGATGAGCCACGTACACATGCAACCCATTGATGAAGACCTTACCCCGATTTGTGGCCGCCCCGCTCGCCGCAGCGACCTCCGAAATCGACCTGGAGCGTTGTGTCGGGGTCGGATATTACGCATCGAGGGGGGGAGAGCTCTGCCGCGGCACCTTCTTCGCAGCCGTCCTAGGCCGTAGATGACAGGCCGAGGAGCCGCTGCGACATAATGATGCGCATTGGATGCGAAAATTCCGGTTGTCCAGCCCCGGTGTGGAGCTGTAGGCCCCGCCAGCAGTTCACGGCCACCACCTCCACCTCGTATGGGCATTGGCTGTGAGAGGCACGCGTGAACGCCTCGACTCGAGCGCAGGAGACACTCCTGCTGTCGACCACAGGCCCGCACATCTCGGCGGCGCCATCTGCAAAATGGAGTCCGGGGCGCACATGCATACAGAATTCCTCCACGTCACCCTCCCCCTCCTCCTTTCCTCATACTCGGCACCTCGGCACCTCCTTCTCCTCCTCCTCCTCCTCCTCCTCCTCACTCCCCCTCCTCCCCCCACTCAATGTCATCCTCCGTCTCCTTGTTGCTGCTACTCTCAGGTCGGTTCTGTCCCCCCCCACAGGGGGATGTTGGGCGAAAAATAAAAAATACTCAAACCATACCCCCAAAATGCTCAAACAGTACTAGACAAATCGTCCCCACACTAGGCGTTCCGTTCTTTTTGGAGATTCCCCCTGTAGAGTGACACGCCCGACGTGATGCTACTCTTACTCCTACCCCCCGCCCATCCACCACCTCCCACCTCTCCCTCTCTCCAGCCGTCCCCCCCCTCCCTCCCGAAGACGCCCCGCGGCGCCGGCGGAGACATGACGGCACGGGCGACGCAGGCGGCGGCGACGACAACGCCAGCAGCGCCAGCGCGACGTCAACAGGAGCGACGCCGACGTAGCCGACGACAACGATCAGGGCGGGCATGTCCCCCTACAGGCGGATGTCGGACGAAACATTCAGAAGATGCCACAAAAAAGATCCCAAAACTGTTCAACACTGGTCCAGAAATCGTCCCTGGATCATTTTTTGACAATTTCTGAAGACTCCGCCTGTAGAGGGACAGGCCCGACTTCAGACAACGACGACATCGGCGACGGCGGCGGCTGCGACCCCATCGGGGAGGGTGGCAGGCGAAAGATCGAAGGGACGCCTGGCCTGCAAACAGCGCCCGTGGGGACAGCGGCCGGAGGTAGCCGCCGGGGCCGAGGCGCCTGCCAGCGCCCCCCGACGACGACGAGGACGACGAGGACGAGGACGAGGACGGCGACGGCGACGGCGACGGCGACGCCGACGACGACGCCGACGCCGCCGCCGCCGTCGACGACGACGACGAAGCCGACGCTGACCGCTCCTGTCGGGTACGCTCAGGGGCCTTGTGAGAGAGGGTGTATCTCAACATCGTTGATGAGTCTTGGGTTTGCACTGGTCCTCCTCCTCCTCCTCCTCCCCCTCCTCCTCCTCCCTGCCTCCCCCCCTCCCTCTTCCCCTTTCTTCCTTGCACATGCGGCTGATCGGGGTCGACACAACATGGTCCGAGGCATGTGTGTGGACAACGGGGGCCAGGGCCCGCGGGCTCTGCCTTTCCAAGAAGTCCACCTCCCTGGTGCTTACATGAAGGTGCCCAAGGACACACAATCCGCCGACCCTGCCGGCGTGTGGAAGAGAGGCTGTTCCGTTTGAGTCGTCGTCGTGGTCGTCGTCGTGGTCGTTGTCGTCGTCGTCGCCTTCGCCACTCCCCTCCCCCTTCCCCAGGCCCGTCGCCGCTCCCCCCACTTTCACCAGACCCTCCTCCTCGAGCGCGCCAGCCACAGCGAAATTGAGCAACGTTGTAGTTGAGTTGAAGGGAAGCCCCTTACCTTTGATCCCTTCCCCGCCGGGTGAGGGGGCCGGGGGGGTCTCCACCCAGATACTACTCCCCCCTGGGCTGTTCGGGTGCCCAGAAAAGCCACAAGACGCGGCAAAAGTGCTCCAAGATGCTCCAATGCGGTCTTCGAGGGCCCTGAATCGCCGAAGTATCGGTCCAAGTCGCCAAAGTAGCCTCCAGACAGCTTAAGAGGTTTCCAAAACGACCCAAGAGGCCTCCAAGAGGACTTCCAAGAGGGCTCTAAGGGGTAAACATCTTTCTTAGGTGTTTGAAAGATTTCGGCATTCTCGCCCTGTCAGCTTCCCGACGCCCCAAGACAGGCCAAGAGGCCCCCAAGACCGCCCCAAGATGGCCCAAGAGGCTTACAAGAGGGCCCCAAAGAGGGCCCCAAGACCGCCCAAGAGTCCTCCAAGACAGCCGAAGAGGCCCCCAAGACGGCTCCAAGAGGGTGCCCAGACGGGGGACCCGAACGGTCACTTCGAGCCCTCGGCCTGAGCAGCTCCCAGGAGGCCCCCAGAGGTCCCTAAGAAGCACCCCCCAGATGCCCCAAGAGGCCCCCAAGAGACCCCCAGGAAGCCCCAAGAGGCCCTCACGAGGCTCCCATGCGGCCCCGGAGAGCCTCCCAAGAGGCCCCCAAACTACCCCCAAGACGCCCCCGAAAGCGCTCGACGTCGTCGTCGTCGTCGTCGTCGTCGTCGTCGTCGTCGTCGTCGTCGTTGTCGTCGCCATTCAGGGTCGGCGGCACCGGCCGTGAGACCTTCGCAATATACACATATCCCAAGATTCCCTATAAATTTGTTTGATGCCTTCTGGGTGTCCGCTCCCCCACTTCCCAGATGCTTCCCAGGGGTCGACAATTCATTGTGTCTGTGTTTCTGTCCTTCCTGATGTCCATGGTTTGGGAGTCCCGAGTCGGTGCGGTGACAGACCGTGCGGTGACCTCGAAATCCCCCGAGACCTCACCGCACGGTCCGTCACCGCACGGTCTTGGGACACCGGAGGCCCCCGTCGCCCGAGACGTCCTCGGAGAGGGGCTGGAGTCCCAAAACCGTGCGGCGACCCCGAATCCCCACCGACTCACCGCACGGTGTGGTCACCACCCCGTGCGGGGGCCCCCGAAGGGTACTCAGCCCCCCCGGTGCCTGCAGCCGGACCGGGGATATAGAGAAACACACCGTGCTCGAGAGCATGAGGCCCCCCGCCTGCCGAGCGGGAGAACATTCGAAGGTACCCTCCCCCAGTGTGCACCCTTCGAGTGCCCAGAAAAGCACAAACGGCAACTGGACGAGGAGGAGCAGGAGGAGGAGGAGGAGGAGGAAGAGGAGGAGGAGAAGGAGGAGGAGGAGGAGGAGGGGGAGGAGGAGGATGAGGGAGGAGGAGGGAGGAGGAGCAGGAGGAGGAGCAGGAGGAGGAGGAGGCCGGGGACGACCTTCGGTTGATGTTTGTTGGGCGCAGCTCGCGCTCCAGGTAGGAGCCGCTCGGAACGATCCCCGGCTGCCTAGGACTGCACTCGACGCGGCGCAGATAGTGGAATACACCTCGATGCCCGAACGCCGCAAGGGATATCTGCAGAAAAAAAAAACCGAAAGACTTTGCCGGTGGCGACGCACAAGGCCATGCAATCAACACGAAGAACACTGGGGTGCCCTTCCCGAACCGACGTCCATCTTGGACCTCAGTCCGACCGTGAACCCGCCTGGACGCCTGCGCTCCTCTTGACCTGGGCCTTCGCGCCAGGGGGGTGGTCCGAGGCTGCATGCACCCCGAAAGCCTGGCCAGGAGAGCGCTCAACGCCGTCGTCGTCGTCGTCGTCGTCACCGGCAGGCGTCGTTCGGGACTGGCTTTAAATGGGACATGTCCCCCTACAGGCCGATTTTGGACGAAAAACTTAAAATAGTGAAACAAATACCCTAAATGTTCAAAAATGGTCAACAAATCGTCCCCATATTATTATGTTTGACTATTTTTCAATATTCCTGCTGTGGAGGGACAGGCCCGACTTAGCACTAGCCGAAGATCTCTGACGGCGTTCGGGCATCGAGGTGTCTTCCACTACCTGCGCCGCGTCGAGTGCAGTCCCAGGCAGCCGGGGATCGTTCCGAGCGGCTCCTACCTGGTGCGCGAGCTGTGCCCAACAAACATCAACCGAAGGTCGTCCCCGGCCTCCTCCTCCTCCTCCTGGTCCTCCCCCTCCTCCTCCTGCTCCTCCTCCTGCTCCTCCTCCCTCTTCCTCCTCCTCCTCCTCCTCCTCCTCCTTCTCATCCTCCTCCTCCCTCCTCCTCCTCCTCCTCCTCCCTCCTCCTCCCTCCTCCTCCTCCTCCTCCTCGTCCAGGTGCCGTTTGTCCTTTTCTGGGCACTCGAAGGGTGCAGATGGTGGAAGACGGCCTCGTGCTCCTCGGCCCCAAAGAACTCCCTGTGGAATGCCACGCACGCTCCAGACACCTCCGCAAATCCAGGCGTCAACGTCCTTGTCGCTGTTGTCGTCCTCGACGTAGTCGTTGTCGTCGCCCTCGCCGTCGTCGTCTTCGTCGCCCTCCTCGTCATCGCCGTCGGAGAAAAGGTTTCGGGTTCAGGGTGTCATCCATCAGCTGCGGCTCGGGGGTCGTCCAAAACGGCCGCCTGAGGCTCGCAGTATTGCAAGGACGCCAGCTGGAGACTGTCTCCGTCGTCGTCAAATTCCTCCTCCTCCTCCTCCTCCTCCTCCTCCTCCTCCTCTTCCTCGTCCTCCTCTTCCTCGTCCACCTCCTCCGATTTCCATGCTTTTAGCCCACCCCTCGTGGAGACGGCTGGGTTCCCGAATCCTGCTCAGGACGCGCTCCCATAGATTGTTCTGTTTATCGGTGTCGGGGAAGAAATCTTGTGAGAGGTCCAGAAGGTCGGGGGACGAGTTCTGGAGGCGACGACGATTCGACGGCCATGTTATGAAGTGTGACACACTCTGCTGGGGGACGGGCGTTCTAAACACCGCAAGCCCTCGATAACATTCCTAAGTGTTGTCTTTTTTTATCTGGCGGCCCCCAACGATGTTTGCCATGGGCGCACGGATGAGCCCGAGTGCATTCGAGCTTCGAACGACATCTAGCGCCCAGGTCGTGTGGCACAATCGCAATGTGCGCAATGTTGTCGCAGTATCTCCCACCGCGGCTCGTTCGGGCAGGAAGCCGTCAAGGCTGAGGACGCGTTGCAACTTGTGTTTTCTGAGTTCGCGCACGCTGTGCCTTGGCAGTGACAACTTTACTCCACGTTTGCTGATTATGGATTTCACGCCCTGCGTCCACTCGTAGATGCTAATGCCAAAAGGGGTCCGAACTACTTGCGAATCCTGCGACTGGCGTAGCGGAGAAACCAAAAAGGCACTTTGTCGGGAAAAAACATCTAGCATCAGGTCGGACATGTCCCCCTACAGGCGGAGTTTGGGCGACAAATAATCACATTCCAAAATGCCCCAACAGAGCAACACAGTACTAGAACAATCGTCCCCATACGTTTCTTGTCCATGTTTGATGCTTCCTCCTGTAGAAGGGGCAGGCCCGACTTACATCTAGAATCTTGACGTGCGGCCCCAAGTGTATTCTCCTCCTCCGACGCCTTCGATACGAGCACGTCGCCCAAATACCGTACCATGTCTGCACCCCCACCCCGTACCAGGACAGCCCAGATTCGAATCGCTAAGTCGGAGAGCCCAGACGTCACGCGCCAGTGCCTTCCAGTCCATTCCTCCCACCTCGTCCCTTTTCAAGCAGTCCTCCTCCTTCTCCTGCCATGCCCCCGCCCCTCCGCTGGACGGGCAGGCCCCAGCTTCTCTGGAGCCAGTTGCACAACTCGCCGAAGGGGTCGAACACCGTCTCGTCGAAGTCCATGCCTCTAGAGAAGGCAGAAGGCAACAAGGGAAGGCAGAAGAGAATACGAGAAGGGTGAGGAGGTGGTACGAGCATGATGGGGGTGACAGGCGAGGAAGGAGAAATGATGATCAGACTAGAAGGAGGGAGGATGAGGAAGCGGAACAAAACAAAGGGCGAGGAAACAATGGAAAAAGGTGTGGAGTCCCTCCTCCCGCCCGCCTTCCGTCTCACGGGAATCGTCAGGGATCTTTCAAGGATCCTGCAAATCCCCACCAAGAATCATGCTGGAACCTTCCTCAAAACTTGTCAAAATCTGACGGGGCTTCACACACCACCTTGATGAATTCTTGAGAAAATCTTAGGGCATCCTCCGGGAAACTTCAGGAGTCGGCAGCAAACCTGCGAGAATCCTCGGGAGTCCTTCGGGAACCCGTCAAGAACCTCCAGGACTCCGCAGGGAATCTGGGAGCCCCCTTTCTATAATGAGCCCGGCGGGTCTCCCAGGAATCCTATGAAACATAAGGAACCCCCCCGTAAGCTTCAGGGATCCTTCCGCAACTGGTAGGAGTCCGCAAGGATCCGAGGGAATCATCCAAGAATCCTTCGGGTCCTTGGAAGCACCCTCAAGAGTGAATTCAGTGGGGGAAACAACGATTTCCCATAAGTATTCTGACATCTTCCAAAGAAGCGCAGGAATATCCACGAATCCCTCGGAATCAACGGAGGAGTCTTCAAGCATCGGTGAGGAAGCGGCAGGAATCCTCAGGAACCCTTTGAGGATCAGTCTGCATCCCTCGAGAATCTTCAGGAGTCCGCAACAGGAGCCTGCAGGAATCTTTCGGGATCACCACGGGGCTCATCCTCCAAGGATCGCCAAAAATCCATGTTCAAAAAGAATCTTCGGAAATCCACAAAAACCCCGCCAATAATCTCCCCGAATGTTTCAAGCATCCTGCCCCATCTTCAGGACTCCACCATTAATCAGGAGTCCTTCAGGGATCATTCTAGGTCCCTCAAGCATCTCCAGCAGTCCGCAGCAGGAATCCTCTCAGGGATCTTGAATCCTCCAAGAACACGCCAATGGTTCAAACAAAATCGGAAATCAATCAGGAACCAATTCGGAATCCTTATGGAACTTCAGCCTCTCGCAAGAATCCCTCAGGAATACACAGGGTCCCAAAGTACCTCTCAGGAGCCCTCCAGGTATCTGAAGAGAAACTTCAGGGATGACTCTTCGATCTGCAGTAATCCCCAGGAATACCCGAGCGCAAAGCGGCCGCGCAAATCACGCTTCCTCTTTGGACACCCGAAATGGGTACCGAAAGAATGGGCACAATGCCCAACAACAAATGTTGTCCCAAACCAACAGCGGCCACTGTTGGGCAGGCGGCCTTCTGTCTCGAATGGACACAGGCCGCGGCGGCGCGGACAGCGATTTCTGTTCAAAATGAACAGGAGCTCCTCTTGAGCGTTGTGCCCATTCTTTCCGTGTCCATGTCGGGCGTCCAGATCCTCCTCCTCGTCCTCCTGCTCCTCCCGGCGGTGGACAAACCTCTTACCGGAAACGGCCTGGGGCCGAAACCGGCGGGCCTGGGCCCGCAAAGATGACGGCCGCGACGCCCTCTAAACGGCCCATTCCTTAATCGACATGTCAGGGTAGGAGGTCTATCAACCTCCGATCCTCTTCCTCCTCCTCCCTTTTCCTTTCATCCCTGGGCTAGCTATCGATATGTCCCTTCGCTGGATTCTACATACATGCCCAGTTCGTTGTCGAGGGAGGAGAGGGACAACGGGCGAAAAGGAGGAGGAACGAGAAGAAAAGGAGGAGGAGAGCGATTTTGCACTCCGAGCGTGAGCGCGCTACTGTCAATACTGGTCTTCAGAACTGTGCTCGCTAGACACAAGAAACTGCGTTTGACATCCAAACCCTGTCTTAGCACGGCACTCACAACAACGCCCACGGAATCGAGAACACGCCTGGTTGTTCCGTTTCCCTTGAGGACTCCTTCGGGGTTCTGAAGCATCCCTGGGCCAATTAACTTGCTGCTCCTGGGGGGTCCTGAAGTGTCCTGAGAAGCGCGCTTGGTTCCGGAAGCACTGTTGAACAAAAACGCCAGGGGGATGCTTGGAGGATCGGGAGTTGGGTTTTTTTGTTGGCTTTGGCGGATTCCGGATGGTTTCCGAAAGCTCGTTGTTCTCCCTGAAAGATTCCGAATGCTCAGTCCTCAAGAGTCCTGCTGAAATTCTGCGAATCCCACGAGGATTCCTGAAGGGCCCTGCCGGGTTCCCGAAGGATTCCTGCGGATTGCAGAAAAGGGCTCCTTCGGATTCCCGAGGTTTCGTGGGCGTCAGTGGGGCTGGCTGAGCTGTTCAGTCACTATTGTTGCAAGTCAGGCCGCCTCGGTGATCATTGACTTAGGTTTCAGCCGTTCCAGGTTAGCCCAGGTGGGGTTAATTTTTCGGGGTTGTCATGAATTGCGCCGTCCTGGATTCTTTCGGGCCGTCATGGGATGGGCATTGTTGAGCCCGGTGCGCTGTCACAGCTTTCTCTTGCCGCGTGCAGTCGCGCTGCGATGTTTGCGCCGCCTGTGGCGCGAGCCCCCACATCCTCCTCCTTTTAACAGCTCGGGACCATTTAGGTTTCTGCAATGTCATGAGGGCCGCCGAAAGTTCCCGGTGATTCCTGAAAGACGCCTGGCATATTCGAGGGATTTTGAAAATCTCGCGCCAGCTCCACAAGGATTCCTGGAGTTCCCTGACTGATTCATCAAGGATTCCTGCGGATCCCTCAAGGTTCCTTGGGCCCCCCGGGGTTACGCTTAAGTCGGGCCTGTCCCCCTACAGGGGGTCTTTGGACGAAAAATAAGAAGTAATCACAAATGCACTGAAATACAGAAACAAAAATAAAAAAATAAAATCGTCCCCAGGCATTTTTCAAAATTATGTTTGAATATTCCCCTTGTAGAGGGACAGGCCCGACTTAAGGTTACGCGTAGTTCTCGAGGTTGATAAGGTTGGCTATTCAAGCCTTCCTGGGAGGCCTCTCGCCGCCTGGACGAACCACGGCGGTTCTCCACGCGTCGCCACTCATGCCCTGAGAGACTTCCTATCGGACGTTGGCAGAACTGGGTTTAGTGGGACCTGGTGTAGTGATCTGTCCCGGGGACGCCCCCCCCTCGTCCCATTCCACTAACCGGAATTGCCGTCACCCGAAGAGACACCAGCTACGGCAGACCTGGCTTAGTGATTCCCATTCATATTTTGGGCTTCGGGGCCCAATCACTAACCGGCTCCCCTTCACCGGGGACCTGGCTATACCCGATCCTAATCCAAAGAATATCGCCCCCCCCGAACCGACTGCGATAGTTAGCTCCCGCATGTCGCAACTCCTCGGGGCTGAGAGTTCAGGAGGAGCGGTGGGGGGTGAGGCGCGGCGGGGATATTGAATTCCAAAGCAAAAAGGAGTCCTCGAGAACCTGCCTGTGTTATCGAGCGCACTGATGAAACGCTCGCTGGGTTAGCTGATTGCGCGAAAGCTAATTTCTTATTCCCCTGGGAGAACCGAAACCCATTGGCGGCAAACGCGCGGAGAAACGTCATGTTTTTGCGCCGTGTGACACAATGTGATACGGCGCGCATTGCGACACGATGTGCTTTTTACCTAACAGCGAAGACTGATAGGTTTCTAGTGGTCTCAAAAGAGCTCACAGATCACTCCACAGGGGGGTCCGGGCAGGTGTTGGGGAGTTGCCGGGCGGCAGGGTGCCGGGCTCGTTTTTCACCAACAGTCACACACTTCGTGCTCTTCGACTTCCCAGAACTCCATTCCCAGGCCACATTCTGAATACCCGGATGCAACAGTCACACACTTCGTGTTCTTCGAGATCCCAGAACGCCATTCCCGGGCCACATTTAGAATAACCAGATGCAACAGTCACACACTTCGTGCTCTTCGACATCCCAGAACGCCATTCCCGGGCCACATTCTGGAGGGCCGGATGCAACAGTCACACACTTCGTGCTCTTCGAGTTCCCAGAATTCCATTCCCGGGCCACATTTTGGATGCCCGGAGCCAACTGTAGGCCACTTCCTGGTCTTCGAGTTCCCAGAACTACATTCCCGGGCCACATTTTGAATAGCCAGACGCTTCGTAGTCCTTCCGCCACAGCCGTGTTTGGTTCAGGAATTGCTAGTGACACTGCAGTCCACTGCATTCAATCGTGCCACTGCATTCACTCACTGCAGTCCACTCAGTTTCGATTGCAATGGCGTTCCCCTGGCCGTACCCCCATACCCAACGTTCATCCGCAGCCTCTGCTCCGCGAGGCTCGTCCGAAGTGTCGCCGCCTCGCGGTGCTTCTCAGCCTGCGCCGCCTCGCGGTGCTTCTCAGCCTGCGGAGGAAGGTGGACAGACGCCTGGCTCTGGCGCTGTGCAGCCTGCGTCTTTCACGGTCGCCTCGTTCAATTTCGGGTTCGAGCAGGGCATGATGACTGGTAAGCAGGCGGCCACTCACTGCGCTAACTTCGGAAGGGTGTGCGCCACGATAGTGGAGACCGCTGATGCTGATATTGTCTGTGGCTGCGAGGTCGGTGCGTTCCGTGAAGGCTTTCGCCGAGCAGGGATCAACGTGACAGAGATCCTCAGTAAGCCTTTCGGTGATGGCATTCGCTTCTCGGAGGTCGACAACTACTTGACTCTCTGGGGGTTCCGCGGTGCTTCTCAGCCTGCGGAACTGACTCTGTGCGAAGACAGCAAAGTTTACAGGCCTCCTAGCGGCCGAGAGATTGATGCTGTTATTTCACATTTTGAGGTGAACAAACCAGGCCATGACAAGTTCCACGTGGTGATCGCCAACATGCACATCGTGTGCGGCAAGAAACCGCCGACCATCCAGACTCGAAAGCGGACAGTTCGCAATCTCCGCTTGCACCTGGACTGCCTGGGAAAGATTCTTGAGAATCTGAGCCAGGCAGTCGTTCTGCTTGTAGTCGGCGACGACAACCTCACTTTCCAGGAGG